CCATAACATCTTCAAGTCTTCGATTAACGGCTGCAAGTAAACATCTATGTCGTTCCTCGGTTGTTTTGGGCCCGAAATCATCATAGACATCATTATGTACTTGCGTTTCATGCACAATAATGGAGACAGATTATAGATAACGAGTAGAACTAGCCATGCGCTATGCTTGCTGCTAAGATTGCCATATGGATTCATCCCATCTGTACAAAGGCCGAGTCTGAGGTTTCTTGGCTCATTCCCAAATTGCGGAAAAAGTTGATCAATCTTTTTCCATTGAGGAGAATCAGCAGGGTGTCGTAGCATTCCATCTACTTTCCGTTCATCTGCATGCCATCTCAAATTTTTAGCCTATGTCTCACTAGCAAACAAGCGTTTTAATCTCGGTACTATTGGAAGATACCACAACACCTTCGCCGGTGGTCTCTTGTTACGAACACGAACACTCAAATTAGCATCAGTTTCATCTTTGAAACGAGAAACCTTGCATACTGGACACTCCTCAAGACTTTTATATTCATTTCTGTACAAAACACAATCGTTAGGACAAGCATGAATCTTCTTATACCCCAAGCCTAAAGGGCACAATACTTTCTTTGCCTCATAATTTGAATCAGGCAATTCATTATCCTCGGGAAGCATATTCTGAAGCAAGCGTAGCAACTCTGTAAAACTTTTATCGCTCCATCCATGCGTCGCCTTCAAGTTGATTAATTTTAATACTGCGGTCAAACGTGAGAAGTTCTTACAACCACTGTAGAGTGGCTTATTTGCTTCAGTAGACAAAGACTCGCAAACTCTGTTCATATGTGCTTGTTCAAACGCCTTTGCTCCCACATCGTTAATCATGTCCTCCACTCGATCATACATATCTGCATCACCAATATCAATTTGTTCGTCTTGGGATACACTTGGCATGTCAAATTCACCGTGCCAAATCCACCTCGTATAACTACGATTGAAACCATCGCAAAGGACATGCTCCCTGATTTCTTCAATAGATAATTGTCGATCGTTTAGGCAGTTCACACAAGGACAGAAAAATTTTCCATTATTATTGGAAACATGTTGTTTAGCATACTCCAAAAAGTATTCCACTCCATTCTCATATTCGCTACTTGTACGCACAGCATTGACCCAAGTACGATCCATAACTCACTGTAATAATTATGTTAAATTTAAAATATATAAATGAAAATATTGCAATTAAAGAGAAAAAATAGAAAGCATATACATACACATGCCATATGACTCGCCACTTTATATACAAGAATTTGTATTAGTTAGATAAAAGCATACTCAAAATAAAATATAATAGGGAGAGTAGTAAAAACAAATAATTCTTTTTGTCTTTTTTAAATGACTTTTTTATTTTATAAAAGTCAGAACATTAGAATAAATTCTTTTCCTTTTTTTAATATATATTTTATCTTTTTAGATTTCTTGGTGTTGGTGTCGAGGCTGGTTTAGCTATATAGCAAGGTGTTTGGATTTGTTTAAAACTAACTGACATTATAGCTATATAGCAAGGACCGTTGTGGTGTTCACAATAATGCAAATGCAAATTTTATTTATCAAGCATTAATATGTATCAACTGTGACTTCTGAAAAAATAAATAAAGTTAAAATGAAGAAAGTGCAATAATTTGCAAGATAATAAAAATTCAGTAAAGCAAGCAGCAGGAGAAGTAAAAACCCACAAATGCCAACTACCCTTCTTATATCACTTGAATGCCCAGATAGCTTAGCACAATCAAAATGGGGTCACATTTTCATTTATATACATTCACAATTCGCAAGTGCTCAGATAAAATTCACACAAGAATATTGAACTTTATTAATACCAGCTTGGGCAGAGCTAGCTAGCTGATCCAAGATGACACACACAATTAAAGTATTGTTTAAAAAATGTAGGTACCACAAGACACATGGTATTCTTTAATGAAATAGAGCACTAAAAAGTCTATTTTTTTCAATGAATAAAAAAATACAGTTTTAGAGAGCTAAATTATATAGAAAACAGTTATTAAAAAAGAAAGAAAAAGAATGAAGAAACTACTGAAAAGGTTAAAGATTAAAAGAAAAAGGAAAGCAATAAGCATAACCAAGTACTTCCTAACTTTATTCATCATAGTCCAAGCTAATCTTTCATACTTTATGATCAATGCTCTTAAGTAGCTTTTTCAACAGCTAAAAAGTCAATAATCAACTTTCTTCTCATTCTTGTTTAATGTATAATCTTCTATTTAATTGTATAAGGCCAAATCATCACATTTTTTTAATATTAAAATACATATATATACTATCAAATGTGTTTTTTGTACTAGTGGTTTGTTCTCTGAGAGTGTGATTTGGAGTAACAGTAAAATGTGATTCGGAGTTGATGTCTTTTATGACCACGAGAAGTTTCAGTTTCTAACATGAAAATTTGGGAAATCATTTGCTCCTAAAGCTTTGCCGGCCATTATGTTTAATGCAAGAATGAGTTTGTTTGTAATGGTTGTTTCATGCTATGAGTTTGGAGTAGTCAATTATGTATCACGATGCTTTATAAAAGATAAATTTATATATGCATGCATGAGCATCATGGGACCGATGAAGGGTAGATAGGAGATGATTGGGGATCGAGGGACTTGAGCAAACAAACTCATTTAGAAGAGGTAACAGAATGCATAAATCGGGGACCAGGAAACTGACTTCAGAAACCGACTTCGGAAACTACACCAACATTAAGTAATAGAGAACAGTTGGTTCCATAAATTGAAATATGTCTTCCAATTCTGCTTAATGAACTATGATAGAGTCAACAACATGTAATTTTGCTTCAGTTATAATAACATTGGCACTCCAGTTGACAAATCTATATATAATTGTTTTTTAGTTCCAACTAATTTTTGTTAAATATTTTTTATGAGCATGTGTGGACTGAAGAAACACGCACACACTTGGATTTCAATACAAATCAATTCAAACATCAAAGGTAATATAAACATAGCAGTAAGGTATGGTTCATCAAGTTAGCTAGGTATTGGTTCTTTTGGTGTGAAAAAGCACTTCACAAAATTTATCACTTGAAATGGTTATAAGCTTGCCACATTTGTATTATTATTATTGCATTATCTACATCACGAGAACAATGAGGGAACTGGACATGGATGATGAACTCATGAAATAACAAAACCAACTAGACATCACCAGAACTCATGAAACAATAAAACATTCACATAATATAATAACTTGTAACTAACAAGGCTCTATACAGTAACTTCAAACTATTATCAAATTGTAGTAATTTGGTGAAATAACTAGGCACAAAACAAAAACAATTTTGAAACAAATAATGTGTGCAGAGAATTGAGACAGTAGGGAAACTCACAACGAATGTCTGGTGCGTCGGCGGTGCCGGTGGCAGAGGCAAAACGTGTT